AGCATGTTCTGAACCTTAGTCTTTTAGTGAGGCAGTCACTGATCCTCAATGGGTAGAGGCTATGAAGTTGGAGATTGCAGTCCTAGAGGAAAACAAAACCTGGAGCATAGTTGATCTACCTCCTGGCAAAACTCCTATAGGTTGCAGGTGGATATTCGAAATTAAGTACAAGGCCGACTAGTTGCCAAAGGCTATAGTCAAAAGGAAGAGCTGGACTACAGTGAAACCTTTTCTCTTGTTGCTAAAATGGTAACAGTTAGGTCCATGTAGCTCTTGCTGCATCTCAGCACTGGATAATATACCAGATGGATGTTCATAATACATTACTAAATGGTGAATTGGTTGAAGAGGTGTACATGCATATTCCACAGGGGTTTGCAAACCAGGGGGGAGACTAAAAAGGTTTGCAAACTTCACAAGTCCTTATATGGTCTTAAACGAGCACCAAGACATTAGAATGTGAAATTAACAAAGGTACTTCTGCAGATGGGGTTTAAAGAGAGTCACTATGACTATTCATTGTTCATTAGAGGAGTTAATGGTGATATAGTTATCATCCTTGTGTATGTGGATGACCTGCCGATCACAGGGAACAATGATAAGTTACTGTGTGTCACCAGAGTAGAGTTGTAGAAGAAGTTCAAGATGAAGGACTTAGGAGAATTGAAATTCTTCCTGGGAATTGAATTTGCCAGATCAAAGGAAGGGATCCTTATGTGTCAAAAAAAGCATGCACTTAAGTTAATATCTGAAGCAGGTTTAGGTGGAGCAAAGCCTTCTGGTACACCATTGGAATTGAATCAAAAACTCACATCTATAGAGTATGACAAGTGCATTCAGAACTGCAAACAAGAAGGTGATCAGGAGCTCAAAATTTCTAGCTGTTATTAGAGACTTGTTGGGAGGCTGTTGTATCTCACCATGACCAGACCAGACATTGCCTTTGCAGTGTAGGTTTTGAGTCAGTATATGCATTGTCCGAAGGTCTCACATGGAAACTGCTCTTAGAGTAGTCAGATACATCAACAAGCACCAGGCCCGGGGTTACTTATGCCTGCAGAAAGTACAAACAAGCTGATTGCTTGCTGTGATTCTGATTGGGGATCATGTATAGAGTCAATGAGATCAGTAATTGGGTACTTGGTCAAATTTGGAAATGCACTGGTGTCTTGGCAGTCAAAGAAACAAATGACTGTATCTAGAAGTTCAGTTGAGGTTGAGTTGAGAAGTATGGCTTCATGTGCAGCATAAGTCACTTGGATGGTAGGGTTGTTCAAGGAACTTGGAGTCAAGATTCAACATGACAGCAAGGCTTCTATACAAATAGCAACCAATCCTATCTTCCATGAAAGAACTAAATATATTAACATCGATTGTCATTTTGTTAGGGAGAAAATATGTGAAGGGCTGCTGAAGACAGTGTATGTACATACTAAAGACCAGCTAGCAAATTTACTGACAAAGAGCTTGGGGAAGTTTCAATATGATCAATTACTAAACCAGTTAGGAGTGAAGAATTTGTATCAACCATCAGCTTGAGGGGGAGTGCTGACTAAAGTTAGTGAACAAGCTGATAAATTAATTGTAGTTAACTATGTAACTGTAGTTGAAGGTTAGTTAGTTAGTATAGTATTAGAAGTTAGTTATAATGTACAATATAAATACACTGTACTCATCGTATAAACGATACACTGTATCGTTTTTTCTTCTTCTTCTTCTTCTTCTTCTTCTTCTTCTTCTTCTTCTTCTTCTTCTTCTTCTTCTTCTTCTTCTTCTTCTTCTTCAGAATAACCAAATTCTGTTTCTCTTGAGTGCTTCCTTCATTTACATGTCTTCTTCCTCAAGCTCAATCCTCAGATCCATGGCACCTAACAGTACTCAAGACTCAAATTTACGATCTATAATTAATAGTTAAGGAGTATTTACTATTTCACTACAATCTTTCGTGGTGACATATTAGTTATCCAATAATATGATATAGGTCATCCTCTAGATCAATAAATACTCGAATCACCATTCCATTAAATAAACAGAAAAATACACATCATAACAAAATACTCACTCTTACATTCATCTACTTCAACGGTGGCTGTACACTTAATTATTTTTTCCAACTCAATAAATAAATAAATATATATCTTTGTAAATATATGTTACTGTAAATACAAGATTTGTAAATTTTTTGTCATTTCCACGTATGTTATTTAGTAGTCCATATAATAAACGCAAATTTAAATAATATAAAGAGACAAAAACATAGAGTCTCCAAAGCAAAGTGAGATTGACGATGAATTGAAATTTTATTTTATTCCTTAAACAGACAAAAAATAAGTAAAATATAATTGTTATGAATACGAAATATCATAAATTTTCACCGACAACGGATACTATTTGAATTATTGGTGAACACAAACACTTATAACAGAATAAAAAAGGGAAACTCTAGAGAAGATTTTTTTATTTATATTTTACGTCTAAATTATCAGAAAATTACAGCTTAAATATTAGTAGTATAATTTTGTTTGTGTAAAATTAACACTTCTATAGCCGTGTTAATTTGAAGTTTATATACGTCAAATGAACGTTTTAAAAATAATGAAGAAAAACCAAAGACTATTATCGTTTTTCTTTTAAGAAAACTTTTTGAGTTCTTTTCCAAACACCAAGTTTGCTTTTTCAAATTAAACATGATTAATTCCTTTTACTCCTTTAGTGTTTGAAATTTTTTAGATAAACAGACCAGACCGTAAATAACGGCGAAAAAGTTATCTTAAAGCATTTTCCTTTGCTAAATCATGTTTAAATTGTTAAAGAGTATTTTTTTTACCCAATTAGTAAATTAAGTAGTGACTAAATTCAACTAGCTTTTCTTATATATTATTTTTATCACAAAAAACAGAAATATATTAATACCCAAGTCAAAATAATATTCAAAATAAAAATTTAAAACTAAAATAAATGTTCAAATTCATGAGATATTAGTTAGAGAGCTAAAGTGCCAAATTAACGCGCAGTGGGATAATAGTGTGATAAATTAGGATATCCATCACTTAGCTAATCCTTTTAGTATAAAATTTATTTTGAAGTTTGTTAATACTTATAATCAATCAAGGAATAAATACAACCCCAAAATTTATCTCAAGATTAGTGTTCTTATCCCGCCTATCAAATTATATCCTAATTTGATCTAGTGACTAGTCGTCGGGTACAATGGTAAGATATTCCAGGATATCTCATGGGATATCTCATGAGGGGTGTCAATGGATATTCGAAAACCGATTAAACCGACCGAACCGTAACGCACCTAACCGATTTTTAGGTCTCTTTTTAAGAAACCGTAGGTTTTTATATAAATCTATAACCGCACCGATAATTAGAGTATGTTTTTTATTTTATAAAAATAAATCGAAAAAATACCGAACCATACCGAATAAATTTTAGATGTGAAAATATATTTATCTAGTAGGTTTAAAAATAATAATGTATTAAAATTTTCCTTGGGCCTTGGAATTATGAAAACTATTACAAGCCAACAAGTAATTAGACTCAAAAAACTAATTCCTAAAACCTATTATGCTACATCTACTTAAACTAAATTATTTCAAGTATCTTTATTAGCAAGATACAAAGTATTCTAGCGATAATGAGTAGCAAATTACAATGTATTGAATATGTTTCCTTTTATATAATTTAAATTTATCTTTTTAAATATTTAATCTTCTATAGACTTTATTCTCGAGTCTCGGCTTGGTATATCTTTCCACCCATGTAATTTATATTTTCTTCGCCTTTGCTTGGTTTCTTTTACGTTGTCGTAGAATAGTCGATTGATCTATACTCTAGCCATCTTTCATTTTTTTGTAATTCATCACCCTTTAAATAGTAAAAATGTCCAGAGAGTTTAGCTAAGTCTTACAAAAGAACGTATGTTATTGAATTTTATTTCTACTGGTGAATTTTACATGATATTTAAAAAAATACCGAAAATTAACCGAACGTACCGATACCGAAGAGAAACCGACATGATTGGGACGGTTTCAAAAAAGTTTAATTTTGGTTATACATAATAGAATAACCGAAAATTTGATACGGTACATATTTTATAAAATAACCAGCCGAACCGAACCACTGACACCCCTTGGATTAGCTATTCCATATGGCTAATCTCATCATTATAGTATAAAATTTATCCAGAAATTAATAGATACATATACTCAAACATGAAATAATATAATTTTAAATTTTATTTTAAAATTATTATCCTTATCCCATATCTCAAACCGTCCCTAAAAGGTTTGAAATAGAAGCCTCTCCATCACCTAACAAAGACAACGTGACAACAAAGAAGGACCAAATTTAGGACATGCCCCCATTTTCTTATTTTATACTTTCCCTTTCCTTTAAGGTTTCTCAATGTTTTATTATTGCCCTTGTCTGTCTAGTGTCTACCACATCATTGTATTATTTTAAAGAGACATATCCAAATTTATCCTTGAACTATTCCAAATTATTTAATTTTTTATATGTATGATTTAAACTTCAAAATCATACCATAACCACTATTTAAAAATTGAATATCGTATCGAATAACAAAATACCAATATCAAAATTTTAGAATTTTTAATTTCGATATGATAGTTCGGTATTTTATCAAAGTATGGGTAGCCCTACTTAAAATATTACATGAAAAAAATATTTATTTCGAAGAAGAGTCTTGGAACAATAGTAGAGTTATAGTTGTATGACCTATAGGTCAAGGAGAATTCGAACCGTGAAATCAGTCACCAATACTTGTAAAAGGATAGACCGCATACATTATATATCCTTGGATTGGATTACGATCCTTACCGAACACTACGTGAACGCAAAATTAAGTTAACGAACTAGAGACTAGAAAATGATATCAAAAGTAAAACTCAATAACTCGTATACGGAGCTGCCTTTTTTCTATTTTGATGTACACCTCCTAACTTGGAAAAAATTCAAATTTTCCTAAAACCAACAACCAAATAATCTCTCACTCAAAATGGCAGTGTTTTTTTTCAAAACAATAAACAATGTCCAACGCATAACAGGCACACACATCTGAATAGCATTTTAGCCCTCTCTTTATTCTTCTCCTTCTTCTCCATTTTCTTCGTCTCAACAATCTCTTTAACCCAAGCACATGTTAACCTCGTAATTTGTGAAAAATCTGCAACCATTGGTCTGTTACCTTGTTCTTAATTTAGCTTAACAAGAAAGCTTCCTGAAACTTCCTTTTCCACAATTTCATTTCACTTAAGGGAAGAAACACAAGCAAAAATTATCAGCTCATAATTCCGGTTGTTTCTCATTATCAGAAATCGAAGATATTTTCGAGGAATCCGAGGTTTATTGCATTTTCTTTTTGATTTGGAATTTTCAGGTTGAAATTTGATGTTCATGTTCGAGAGAACTCCCAAACGTAGGAAAATCTCGAACATGTTTTTGAAATTCCGAATCTAAATCAGGGTTTTTGGATTTGAATGAAACTACATTTTACAACCGAATAAAAATTTCTAAAAGAAGAAAGTTTCTATTTTCCTTTTTTGGAAACCAGATGCAATGTTGTCCGTTTCGGCACCGTCGAGAACACGCAGTTCTCTGGAAGAAATGCTGGAATCACTCAAGCAAAGGGATGAGAATGAGAAGCCCAAAGATATACCACCGGCATTACCGGCCCGACCCAAATTAGCTTCCAGAACTAGGCCTCCTTCTCCTAAGAGAACATTGCCCAATAATACTAAAGAAAATCGCAGTGTTGTTGAATTGGAGAATGGGAGGAAAGAAGAGGTTAAAGGGAAAAGAGGAAATATGTTTGGGGCCAAAAAGGGTAAAGAGATGATAATGGAGTTTAGTGAGTCACCTTATGTTAATTCATTTTCAGTAGAAAAGGAATATAGACAGAGATTTTGGGAAAAAGATGGGGCAAAGCTTGATAATAACAGACTTCCTTATTCACTCCCGAAGTTTCGCGAGGATGAGTGGAATGACAACATCAGTTATTTTATTGAGAAGGTAAAAAAAGGAAATTACTGTAAAGATTGTGTTTTGTGTTCAGTTTTATATACTTTTGTCTGCTTCTTTTGTTGCATTGACATAATGTTGGATTTCTGATAGGATTTAAGTTATTTACATTGACAATCTAATGATATTTTTACACCTTCAGCGTAATTTAACCTGTTATAGTAGGTTACTTACCATTTATTCTAAGTTATGAATCAATACATATTAAGTAGAGTTACCTATAACTACCTTTTAAATGACATGATTGTGTAAATATTCTCTAAACCGTTAGTGCATAGAACTTAATCTCTTTCTGATAATGGGCAGTGGGACAGTCCTTAGAGTTTGAAATAATCTTTTTCGCATGGGAGTTGCTACTGTCATTAATTGACTAGCTCTTATGAATGTAGTCAACGGAACTAACATCATGAACTCGTATAGGACAGAAAGCTCACACAGCAGTGTTAATAGAAATGATTAATATAGCTAACTTCAAGTAGTTTGGCGTTTGGGATTTAGGAGAACTCTAAATGTAAGGTTTGATAAGAGTAATTCTTGTTTGTTTTTTTGCCACGCAGTACAGCTGCATAAGTTCTTGAATGTCTTTTGAAATATCTTTCCGGTCTTTTGTTTCTTGAGCTTACTGCAGTTTACTCGTAAATCTTTGGTGTATGTTTATAAAGTTGACGTTTTTAACTAATTGGCAAGTAGGTAAGAAAAAATTGTGCATCTTCTACTTTCGACTACCATTGTTTGTCTGGTTGTGTTTGGTTTGCTCTTCGGCGGGAAGATTTCACGGATTTTACCTATTGTGCTATAGCTTTTGGGACGATTTTTAAACGTAATTAACGAGTTATGTTTGGTTGAACACACTCAACTTCTAAGCTCTATGTTTCAGAAGCTTCGTGTCTGGTGCCGTCTGAAAAGTAGTCAATGGGAACCAGGACACATACAATCAACTTCTGGAGACAAAGCTTCGGTATTGCTTTCTGATGGCAGTGTGAGTTTACATGTTCTGGCTATTCACTATGATGAACAGTGAAGCTTAAAACAATTGAAATTAAAAAGATGTGTATGTACTTAGACTTTGTCATCCTATAGGTTGTGGCGGTGCCGGTTGGAGAGCTTTTACCTGCAAATCCAGATATTCTTTCCGGCATGGATAATCTCATACAACTTTGTTATCTCAATGAGCCATCAGTTCTTCACAACCTCCAATATAGATATGCTCAGGATAGAATATATGTGCGTACTCTTAAGACGACTCATTGTTTCATTACATGTAAAACTTTATACCTTTTGATTAATGTTTTCTGTTTCCTCTATGCTTACAGACTAAGACGGGTCCTGTTCTAATAGCAGTCAATCCCTTCAAAGAGATCCAATTGTATGGAAACGAACTTGTTACAGCTTACAGGCAGAAACTCTTGGATGATCCTCACATTTATTCTACTGCCGACACTGCCTACAGTCAAATGATGGAAGGTCTTTCTAGTACCAAAGTTCATTCCTGGTCTCTGAAAACTTTAGATGAGAGCAGTCAATTCTTATTTTATTTTTATTTTTTTTGCTTTCGCTGTGTATCTTGCAGATGAAATAAATCAATCCATCATCATAAGGTTGGTTTGAAGTGTCTCATTGTTAGATTTTATATAATCCGATGACAGTAAAGATGTGTTTTTCTAAACTGGTTGAGTAATTGCATGTCTTGGCTGTAATGATCAAATTTACGATAAACCTATGCTTGTATTTCTAAGTGACTAACTTCTCTTCATATCATGTAGTGGGGAAAGTGGATCTGGGAAGACGGAAACAGCAAAATACGCGATTGAATACTTGGCTATGATTAGTGGAGGAAACAATCGGATAGAAAGCGGGGTTCTGCAGACAAGTTGCATATTGGAGGCTTTTGGGAATGCCAAAACTCCCAGGAATAACAACTCCACTCGATTTGTCAGTCTCTACACTTTTTTTCATCTTTTCTGCCCCCCCCCCCCCCCCCCCCCCTTTTTTTTTTTGGGAGGGGGGGGGAGATGGAGCAGATTTTTTATTGGTTATGCCCCTTTTTTTGCACTTGAACTGATAGTTGTCTTGGTGGGTTGCAGGGAAAGTTGATTGAAATTTATTTTAGTGCAGAGGGAGGAATTTGTGGTGCTAATGTACAAACATGTAAGGATGTTTACTAAGTTGAATCTCCTTATAAAATACAACTTGTTGTAATTGTCTTGTTAGCATTGTTTTGGTATCAGTTTCTTGTAATTGTCTTGTAATATTGTTTTGGTCTCATTACTGACTTTTACACATCTTTATGCATGTCTAATATGTTGATGCTAAAATAATGAGCAGCTCTTCTCGAAAAGGTGGGCATATTTCTTCTCTGTGTTCTTCGTTGGATTGTCTTGTTAAATATGTATCTGTTCATCAGAGTCTAAATCTTTTGAAACACGTCTTATTTTGGCAGTCAAGAGTGGTTCAACTGGCTCATGGCGAGAGGTCTTACCATATCTTTTACCAGCTATGTGCTGGGGCTCCATCTGCTTTGAGAGGTTTGTATTTGGATATTGAACCTTTTATTGTAATATCTTTTTGTTACTTATTTTAGCTGTTTGGGCTTCAGAGCTGTTATTGGCTCTAGGTTTTAGTTGTCTCAGTAGGATATGATTGTTCAGTAATTTCTCTATGTAACTTTATTAATATTTTCAAGCCAATGAACCAGCTTCTATTGTTACTGCTGCGTTTTACAACCTTTGAGATGTTTCTCCTCGTATCTTTTCTTAGAACTGAAATTACTATGATACTAAAGGTAACACAGGAGCTATAATTTTTTTTATAAAGTTCTTTTCTTTATTAGAAAACATTAGTTGATGATGGTGATCTTTTGTCTGAATTTGTGACACTGTAATTATAGATATGTATGAGCTTGCAATCACAAGTCTGTGGTTGCTTTGCCTAGATGCTATTGAATGCGGAAAATAATGTGTTATATACTTGGTGCGTGGAAGTTTGAGTCAGAAAGTTTGGAATTTGAACATAAACTAGATGAAGTATAGTTTCTACTATTTTAAAAGCCGAACAACTGTTTCTTGGCTAGATGTGTGATCGAATACTCTACAACTCTGCATGATTTTTGTTTTTGTTTCTCTTTGTTTGAGAGAGGATGTGGGTGTTAAGAAAACAAGTCCTTGGAAGATTTTGCACTTTCACATTCAGAACAGTTATGCGATTCTTTTGTCAGATAAACTTAAGCTGAAAGGTGCTTCAGACTACAACTTTCTCAACCAGAGTGATTGCTTGGTGATCCATGATGTTCATGACGCGAAGAAGTTTCACATGCTTGTGGTGAGCTAAAGGGATCAAATTTATGGTTAATTTAGATTTTATTTTTCTTTCGATTCAAAGTCATGTTGGATCTATTTGTTATTAATTCCTTTCATGCATTCCCTTTTCAGAAAGCCCTAAACACAATGGGGATGTCCGAAAGTGACCAAGAGCATGCTTTTCAGATGGTTGCTGCAGTGCTATGGCTGGGAAACATAACATTCCAAGCAATTAGCAGTGAAAACTATGTTGAAGTTGCACAAAGTGAAGGTGAGCTATATTTGTGAAACACAGTTTTGCCAATTTTGCTCCTCTTGTTTTAATATTTGATTTCTATGCTTATACTTGTGTCATTATTGATCTCTGATGCAATTCTTAGTAGTCAAATGTAGCCTAGACTTCTTAATTTATGAAAGTTCTAGAGTTCCATGAGGTCATACAGTTCTTCAAACTCTTTCACACCAGGAGTCGGACTGCAATGAGAACGGAACGGATAAAGTAGACTGCTTCCAGGATTAAAGTTGGCGATAGGTGCTGTCAGAAGCAACTGTATTACTCTTTATTTATTTTTAAACGAAGAGTATGGTTGACTCTTTAATAATTGGTAATCTGGAAAGATGAATAATTCTTGGTAATTAATAGTATTCCTTGTCAATCATCCCAATATAGTAGCAGTAAGTAAAATATTCCATTGCGAAAGAAGTGGAGCACCTAGCTCGTAACTGTGGGATGCGCGTTTGTATATGCAAGATAGTGAAAGGAGTGCGTATAAAAATTCTCGGTAAGTCTTGCAGACTTCCCTCCAAAAGGTGGGACAGGTCCTTCAGAGAACATGCATTATGTAGCCAAAACATAGTTTCATAAATACATCATTAATAGAAATCATATACATGTGAAAGATCATTTAACTCTTCATATGCAATCGTGGGATTTCAAATCATATGGATTAGCTTAAACATTTAAAGATATTCCTTGAAATCATATCAGTTGTCTGTTGGCCATTTACACTATCAAACTATGCTCACAGGTTCCATAAATCATCATACCTTAAACATTCTTTAAACGTGGGATAATAGTTTGGAAATCTTATTTGAGGGACAACTTATTCCCACAGATCTTTTAACAAATCATACTTTGCTCCCAAGAGTCATACTTCTTATACCTCACGCGCGAGGGCCATACTTTCTCATTATTCACCCCGAGGGCCATGCTTTATCATAATGCAGCTCATATGGCTTCAATATATAACATTTCAATACAACACTTTTGGCCTCATCATGTATCTTATGAATATTTGTACAAATATGGCGTGGGCTTAAGCATGATTATATGATCATTTTCACTAGCACGACCCCTTTTGGCATGATCGATAGATCAAAACATAGATATTTCAGTATTCATTTTCATTTCATTACAATCACCCACCAAATGTATTCCCATCGATCCAATACCTTAAACCAAGTATTTCTCACATTCCATTATATAAAACAACTAATTTGAGCGACATGGAGCATAGATTTGAATTAAGCTTAATGAAAATTTACGGGGCATTAAAAACAAATAATTGTGGGATAATCATGTCTATTCCTTTTACTATTACTGAAAATAGATTCGTATCATCTCTTGTATTTATTACTGTGATACTAGAATAGAAGTATGTATTTCCGTTGTCCCATTGCAGTATCCCCTTATTTTACTTCCCTTCTTCACTTTTATTCAAGTAATTTTTCCGTTAAGATGCTCAATTTGGAACCATCCCCATGCCATGCTCTAAAAAGGATGATCAATGGTTATTTTGTTTAGCACACAAAAGAAAAGAAGATTCACAAACACGGAGATGTTCAGTATTCATAAATTACTATAAGGAGGATGAAAGAGTGTAGATAACATGTTTAGGTTTGTGCACTCTTTCAAGAGGGCAAAGCAGTCAATCTGAAATTACTGCTTTGCCCTGTAGCCTATCTGAAATTTCTTTCTATCTGAAATTTCTTTGTCTGGTCAAATATTACAATGTTGTTTCTCCTTTGAGTAGGAGACAGTGTGTCATGTTTTGTTATTGTCAGTTTTGCTACTATTTCCTGCACTTGTTTTTTTAACTGCAAATGAAATCTTTTCTAATCATCTCTCTTTGTACGCGAAGATTTTGAATTATGCCCAATTGTGCGAGTTTCCTGATACAGTGTTATATGTTATATCTATGATTATCTGGCAGCGCTAAAGCTAACCTGTTTGGTATTTCACCATCTCTAATATTGCAGCCGTTATAAATGCTGCTAGCTTGTTGGGCTGTAGTGCCAATGACTTCATGCTAGCTTTATCAACCAGGAGAATGCAAACTGGCAAGGATAAGGTTGTCAAGAGTTTAACCATGCAGCAGGTAAGTTACTTGGTTATATAGGTTCTCCTACAGATTCTCTCTGACATTTTCATCCTCACATTTGCCGTAATATGCAACAAGTGTGTTACTTTTGCGTATTATGAATACGGCACTCCTACCTTTTCTCTTAAGAACCATAAAAAATGATTTTAACTTTGGTTCAGGCAATTGATACAAGAGATGCATTGGCGAAGTTCATCTATGCAAACCTTTTTGACTGGATAGTGGATAAAATTAATAAATCTCTTGCAATGGGTAAAGAAAAGACTGCTAGAACCATAAATATCGTAGATATTTATGGCTTCGAATCATTTGAGGTAAATTGATTTTGAAGATGTTGTTGCTATTGTACCACATAAAAGTATATCTGTTGTCTCACTTGCCGTTCTTCCTATTCAGAAAAATAGCTTTGAACAACTTTGCATAAACTATGCAAATGAGAGGCTCCAGCAGCATTTCAACCGACATCTGTTCAAACTTGAGCAAGAAGTAAGAACATTAGCATGTTTTGTAGTTACTGACTTCTTATTTCTTCATGCCCTTTTTTTGGGATATGGTTCTTATTTCTTCATTCCTTTCAGCTACTCAGTTCTTTAAACTTAGATAGGAAAACAAAGAACAATGCTTTTTGCTGACTTTGCATCAGTTAGCTATAGTATGAGTGAAGCTTTTTCCTTGTAAAAAATGAGTGAACTTTTCGTGAGAACTGGAGTGAGAAGGTCCGAGCACATATTTTAGGACCTCGGTTGCTGTCTGCAAATGTTGTTGAAGTTGTGCAGATGAAAGAAATATCATTATCAGACACTTTTCTCTTTGTATTTGTGGATATCTGAGCTTTATTCAGACAACTGTGGATATTTATTACAGCTTATGTTGGATACTGACGCCAAAACTGATGTACTTTAATTCAGGAATATGAATTGGATGGAATTGATTGGACAAAAGTAGATTTTCAAGACAACCAAGAGTGCTTGGATCTTTTTGAGAAGGTATTTGTGCATTTTGGTTCTTTTCTTCCACTCATTTTGCATTCAGGAATACTCATAGTCTGTGCAAAATTTCATCACTTTGGATTACACTTTTAACACTTCAGCATAACACAGACATAATCTTGTTTTGTTTTCCCTTGTAGTATTCTTTCTCTTTCTCATATTCAATTGTCGATTTGGATAAGAAGAGACACTACCTCATTCGAATTATCACAATTTTGATGGACATCATTTACAAACATACTTACATGCACACGCAGACACCCACCATATGTTCATATTGTAGAAATACTTCTCGACAGTGAAGTTGAAAATGCAAAATATCCAGTACACAGTGTAATTATATATCATATCTTGATCTGTGGATTCCAATGATGCCTTTTGCAGAAATCCATCGGGCTGATATCTTTATTGGATGAAGAGTCAAATTTTCATAAAGCGACTGACTTGACCTTTGCCAATAAGCTTAAGCAGCACCTGAAAGCTAACCCTTGCTATATAGGAGATAGAGAAGAATTTGGCATTCACCATTATGCTGGAGAGGTCAGTTTCTTTTCGAAATGTATCCCTTTTGGTGTCAAAACTTGTGCCATATGATGTCCTTTTAGATGTGAAGTGGCGATTTCCTTGAACTGAGACTCTTGTGAGACAATTAAGGTTTGGGATCTGATACATTAGAATTTGCTCATGGACAATAGTTGATGTTTCAATTAATAAAGATCAATAAGCTTCTTTCTAGTATATCTAATATTCGTTACTCGCTTTAATAGTTCTGTTTTGACCATCATAAAGTTTAATTTTATCTTTTTAGGTCATCTATGACACAAGTGGCTTCTTGGAGAAGAATAGAGATACGGTGCACTCTGACGTTATTCAGCTACTTTCGTCAAGCAGTGAACACTTACCCAAGTCGTTTGCCTCCTCTTTTGCTAATCAGTCTGCAGATTTTCAGAAGCAAACAGTTGCTACTAAATTTAAGGTAGTTATGTCATTTTCTTAATTCCTTATAAAACTAGATGTGCTGGTAAAAACGTTTATAAATTTCTTTTGAGAAAATAACAATTTTTATTCTGATGCTATAAGAAATACCTAATGCTGCCTTTATCAAAATCTTGCAGGACCTATTGTTCAAATTGATGCAGCAGTTGGAAAGTACTGCGCCACACTTTGTTTGTTGCATAAAACCGAACAATAAGCAGGTTCCTGGCATGTACAATAATGATCTTGTCTTTGAGCAGCTCAGGTGCTCTGGTCTTCTTGACATTGCTAGGATCTCTAGATCTGGGTATCCTACTAGGATGACACATCAAGAATTCTCTAAAAGGTGAATTATGTGCTCCTTTCTTTGCTGCTGAATTTCCCTTTTGGATGCTTTATAACTTATACAAATGTGGTTATTTAGGTATGGTGTCCTTCTTCCGCAAGTTCATGAATCCAAAGATCCCTTAAGCATGTCAGTTGCCATTCTGCGGCAATTTGATATCCTTCCCGAAATGTACCAAGTTGGGTATACAAAGTTATATTTCCGGGCAGGACAGGTAAGTTTGTTGCTTTTTCGTAGTTTCTTAAGTGTACCTATGTTTTCTTTTATCACGAAAAATAATTTGGATTGCCATTAATCATTGAAGCAGATACCTTGTAACTTATTTAATCATTACTACTATAGAATTAAGCAAATAAAAATGTAACGTGTCTTAAAATTTGGTTACATCATGAAGAGAATTTCAGATTTAAGAAGCATATTTGACTTCGAATATTTCTGCAATTAGTCCTGTTATAGTAATCTAATGAGAAATGAAGATAAATATGCTAATAATTTTCCTATGATAAGTATGGCTAATTTGGACTTCTAGTGAGGCAATGGTTGTGCACGTTATTAAAGAATCAATTTCCTGGTGTATCGATTTTCTGAACTTCTTTCTCGGTGACTTGTAGATTGCTGCACTGGAGGATGTGAGAAAACAAGTTTTGCAAGGCACTCTTGAGGTACCGAAGTGCTACAGTGGTCATTGTGCTCGTCGTCACTTCCATGAGCTCGAAGGAGTCATCATCATACTCCAGTCATGTAAGGCAAAATGTTTTGCAGCAGTTTTAATTTTGAGAATGTTGATCAACCTTCGAAGAAGCTATTTATGAACAGAATTTTCTCAAGCCAGTTTTGTTTGTATATGATTTTGTTTGTTTTAAGTAGTTAGTATATGACTTAAAGTTCTTGAGCAACCAGGGATTCCATATCCAAGCTCTTTTCTCTCATTTCTTTCTTCCTTTCTTTTTTAGTGGAAATATGTCACACTGCTGAAAGTTCTTAAAGTGATTAACGACATGAAATATTGTGGAACTTTTAAGTCAAGGTTATTATTCTTGGAGGTATGATGTCAAAATATTTTCTTGTAGTCGTTCGTGGTGAAATTGCTAGAAGGCAGTATAATGCATCTCTGGAGTCGAAACGAAAGGCTGCTAACAAAGAAAACGACAAGCAGCTGGTGGCTGTTGTGCAGATACAATCAGGTAAAGTTTTTTCTTTGGCGACTATGATTATGAAATGAAATATGGGTTTATATGCCTTGCTTTTCTTTTATTGCAGCAATTCGTTGCTGGTTGGCACAGAGGCATCTTAATCAGCTGCAGAGTTTGAAAAAGTTAAACCAAGACAGAGAAAAACAAGGCAGAAAGACGTCGGAGGTGAAGGTACCGTATTTGATAGAGAATGGTGGATATCTTCATACGCAAGCTCTCGTCCGTCAACTTCTGTTATCTAGAGGGACCTTAGCATGGAATGATTTATCTTTCTTCTAAAAGCTTTTTCATAAATACTATTGTAATTTTTCTTTTTTCTTCGTTCAGAATTGTAGTGTCTGCTTCAGGATTAATATCTTTAAGAATTTGGTGGCCTGTTGCGTGAAGCCAGTTTTAGGTATCTTTCCCCCCCTTTTTTTGACAAGCAAATCCAATTAAAGGTGTTCTGCTACTTTTCTGATATGAGGAATGAGAAAATGTTTCATAGTCTCCTTTCTCTAGACAATGAAATGCTCAGTCTTGAAATCGCTGAGAGTTTGATTCTTTAATTAGAAGGTAAAGAAGTGAGAAAATATGAGTCTTTTTCAATGGATAGGAAGGCCCTTTTTTGGTTTAGATGTTAATCCTATTGCCCAATCTGCAGCACCAAAGAAAAAACAATCACTTAGCAGCCCAAAAGGAAAGAATTAGGACAGTAGGTCAAGAGTATTTAATGGAGCCCACCCCTTTTCTCTACCTTATAATTCAATTTCTCTTTTCTCTGTTCTAATTGCCCATGGCTGTCACTTTGACAGCTGAAAGCAAGGTTGATTCTGTACTAAGCTTAAATCTTTTTATCTCAGCAGGACTTCCCTGCAGAAATTTTACCTTCTGTTGTAGAAGACTTCGAAAGGCGCGTTATGGTGGCTGAGGCATCCCTTGACGAGAAGGACAAGGAAAATGCTGCCCTAAAGGAGCAAGTAAACCAATTGGAGGCCCGATGGTCAGATTATGAGGTCAGGATGAGGTCGATGGAGGAGATGTGGCAAAAGCAAATGGTGTCTTTGCAGGTTTGTAATATCTCCAAATCCATGTGATAATATAGTATAATTCTATACACGAAGCAGAATTTTTTGTTGTTGCATTTCCTTCCATTTGAAGAAAAAGTTTGTGAGATGAAACTGCGGAATGAGACTGATAAAATCCTTTTGAAAGTTATTTTGATGCAATTAATGTGCATGTAGTCATTACGCTTCTAGCGCATTGAAGAAGCATATTTTCTTTCCCCACGACGGGAGAAGCAATTGTTAGAGTAAAGAAAAATAAATCTTTATCAATGTAGGAAGAATTGTTTTTTCTACCATGGATGTGTACGTGGTTGATATTATTTTAATTTGCTTTCAGAAAAGGAGTTTAGGTTTATGCTCTTCTATATACATGAATGTTTAAATTGCCAACTATCTTATATATCAAATGCTTCGCTATGCAGGCAAGTCTGGCTGCTGCCAAGAAGAGTCTCGGTGTTGACAATCCAGCCGGTCACCCTGGAAAACGTGAAGGTTCCCAATCTCCTTGCGGTTATGATTCTGAAGACACAACAACTATGGGCACTCACACTCCTGGGGGCAGCACTCCTATTGAATTTGCTAGCAACGGTGTAGATTTTGGAGGTATTAGAGAGAATAATGGCGGTTTATGTGTAGTCAATTACCTTAACAGGGAGTTTGAACTACGGAGACAAAATTTTGATGACGAAGCCATGGCAATTGCTCAGTTGAAGTCAGAGCAGTTACATTCAACTAATCCTGCAGAAGATTTTCGAAGACTGAGACATAGGTTTGAGGAATGGAAGAAAGATTACAAGGCCCGGTTAAAGGAGACAAAGGCAAAGGTACACAAGCTTAGTTATTCAGAAGCAGAAAAAACTCGTAGAAATTGGTGGGGAAAGAAGAGCAAAAGATAGTAACTCTACATAATTCTTCTTCTTCTTCTTCTTCTTCTTCTTCTTCTTCTTTTGTGTGTGAAAATGTATAGTTGAAAGTAATTTTCCCAACTATGGGTGTCTTAGTGTAGCAGAACTAGTCGAGACTGGGGAATGTAGCGTGCTCCGAAAGGATCCACTCTGATCCATCTGTTTGTGAATAGCTTGTTGTAGACTATGTTAGGTTCTCAACATACATATATGTTGGAGTTAGTTCGAAAACAGACTAGAAATTTCCTAGTCCATAGATTTTTATGCCTAAGTGTTGCAGCAGTTGTGATAGATTGTTTGCAATTGCAGAAGAATGATTACTAATTTTTTATAACTTAATGAGTGACAAAACATGATTGCATTTTACTTATTAGATATACATTTCTGGACTGATTAATCCTAGCTGTTTTAAGAATATCGTTATAAGTGGAATTACCTGTATATATACTGCTCACATCCCTAATTGCCTTCTCCATTCAACAAAATGAAAATAATCATGTCAAATTTCAGCTTGGTCATAAACCATTGTGGAGCTGTCATAATTAGAGTTGTTGGACTTAAAAGTAACAAAAGTTTCATATGATAAACACCAGCTTCTGGACTTTATTTGATAGGATAAGCTGCCCATTCAAGATTGAATGTTCTTGCTACTTTTCCCTTGTCCTTTCCTTTTTTGCTGTTACAAACAAAGAAGAGACTCCATTGTTGAGATTAGGAAGCACATAACCATCTTTTTTTCTTTAGACAGAATAGCATATAATCTGTTGTTTCAATTTATATGATGTTTGACTTGACATGCAGTTTAAGAAACAAAAAAGGAAGATTTTGGAAAATTATAGTCTTAAAGGCAACAACAACAACAAATCCAGTATATTCTCACAAGTGGGGTCTGAGGAGGATAACGTGTACGCATACCTTAACTCTACCATAAAAAAGGCAGAGAGGTTGTTTCCGGTAGACCCTCGGCTCAGGAAAAATAAAGGGAAGGGGCAATGACAATGACAAGCAAAAACCAATCAGAAAACCAAGCCAAAACTAATACTAGGTAGTGCAATAGAAAACCGAAACGAAGGCAATAACAAGTAATAACAGAAGTCTAAAAATACAAAAATACACTAAATGATGTACTAAAACTACTGTAACAAACAATGACGAAGCTCGGCTACCTAAACATCTATCCTAATTCTCAATATCCACCCCTTCCTATCCATGGTCATGTCCTCACTAAGCTATACTGGAGCAACACCTTATCTTATATGTCTATAGAAGCTTCTCTTCTCATTAACAACTTGTTTGAATGGTTGTTACCTATTGTATTGTATCGTATTGTTACTTTAAACGGAAAAGGGTAAAAAATGCACTTGAACTATTTGAAATAGCTCAAAAATGCCCTTAGTTTGTTTTTGGTACTAAAAATATCCTTGCTGTCTATATTTTGGACCAAAATGCCCTTAAACTGTTAGTCTTGCCATTGAAGGTGACATGGCAATCCACCTAAGCAATCCAGCATGGCAAAATTATTTTTCCAAAATTTTTAAAAAAATACAAAATCAACACTTATTCCGAAAAAAGTAAAAAAAATTTCGGACGGCAAAAATATTTTTCAGGAAATTTTTTACTTTTTTCGGAATAAGTGTTGATTTTGTATTTTAATAAAAATTTCCGAAATAAATAATTTTTCCGGAAATTTTTTACTTTTTTGGAATAAGTGTTGATTTTGTATTTTAATAAAAATTTCCGAAAAAAATAATTTTTCCGAAATTTTTTTACTTTTTTCGGAATAAGTGTTGATTTTGTATTTTAATAAAAATTTCCGAAAAAAATAATTTTTCCGAAATTTTTTTACTTTTTTCGGAATAAGTGTTGATTGTGTATTTTTTAAAAAAATCCGTAAAATTAATTTTTCCGAAAAAATAATTTTGCCATGTTGGATTGCTTAGGTGGATGGCTATGTAAGCAAATCTAACCTAGTTGGACTGCCATGTCACCTTCAATGGCAATACTAACTGTTTAAGGGCATTTGTGATCCAAAATATAGACGACAGGGATATATTTTGGCCCTTTTTGAGCCAAACAAACGGAGGACATTTTTGAGCTATTTCAAATAGTTCAAGGATATTTTTGGCCTTTTTACGTACTTTAAATGTAATGTTTGTTTTGATTGTTATTTAAATTTTATTAAATCGTATTGTTAAATTCGTCGACGAAAAGTGTCACTTTATGTAACGACGGATTTGGTGTGGTGACGTCGTTACCTTTGAGTTTTTTCTCTCATCTTGTCTTCCTACTATTAAATAATTATATTTTATCCTTTATTCTACTTTTTATATAATATTTCTACGTCATATCCTATTATTTCTTAGCAATATTGCAAGTCTATTTTTCGTATTGACATCATGAAACCACAACAAATGATACAATCTATGCAAACGTTGTATTCATCAAACAATACAATACATTATGAAACCCTAGTAAATGATACGAAATGGAACAACCATCCAAATAAGGTGTAAGTGTAAAATGAAAAGTTTTGTTCCCAAATAAGATAAAATTGATAAAAGAAATAAAATGCGGTGAACGTGGATCGAACACGTGACCTTCAGATCTTCAGTCTGACGCTCTCCCAACTGAGCTATCCCCGCTTTGTCCTTCGTCTGATAAAGTAATAGTAAATATATAAGATCAAATAATAACTGCAAAATACGAGGACCGTATTGCAATATTAGGACATTTTTAGAGGACCTCGAGCCATTTGCTCTTTTAAATCCCTTCAACCTGAAAAAACGCCAAAACGCACAGGCAAAATCACTTTACTTTTGCCGGAATCACAAATTCCGATTCTGAAGTCCGGTGAACTCAAGAAATGGTTATCAAAAAACGGGTAAACAAGCTTCCTGCTGAAAATGGCGGAACCAATGATGTTGAAGGTTTCCCTAAGAACAAAAAATGCAACGAACAGTTCGATCACTGGGCTTTTCTGGTAATTTCTGTTACTACCTTGAAAATGTATATTTAATTTGTTTATATTTTCTATGTGTGTGTGTGTGTGTGTGTGTGTGTGTGTGTGTGTGTGTGTGTGTGTGTGTAATTGAGCCAACTAGTTTTGTTGAGGTGGCAGTTGTAATTGGGACCTCCTAATTTTTCACAAAAATTTGTTAAAAGTCCAGTAAGAAGTTGTGCTTTGTTAATATGGATCTGAATGTCTGTGAACTGTATGAATTCTTCTGCATTTGATACGATGGAATTTCGATAGATGTGTTTTTGTTATTCTTACACCAGCCAATTTATAATAGTCATTACTCATATATCTTTCTAACGGAATTATTATTATATTCTTATAACCGTGGTGTCGGGGCAAGCTTACCGGCACCTCGACTAATTCTACGGGGCAGCTGCTACCTCTCACCAGTACAAGTACCGAGTAACTCTGTCCATCAAGGCTTGGACAGATGGGAAGAAATTACCAAGTATTTTGCCTTGGCTGGCTGGGATTTGAACCTGAGACCTCATGATTCTCAACTCACATCATTGACCATTAGGCCACACCCTTGGATTTTAGTATCTGTGGAGTTATACTATTGGATTGGTGCTTAGGGTATTAAATTATTATAGTAGCATGGTTTGTAATGCTGACTCCATTTAGATTTAATCGTAAAATCTAGCTTTTGATTAGTCAATTTGCCTAACTTTGAGTAAAACTATTTAAAGATTAATTTATTTTAAGATATCAAGTTTATAAGTATTTTTAGATAAAAAATTTCAGTTAAACTACTTATGTTTACCTAGAGCACCTCATCCTACTATTTGAACTATTCTTTTATTTTAAAAATGGTAATGTTGTTGTTGTTGTAATAATGAAGTAGTGGCTTTGGTAGTGTAATTACTCTTTTTAAGGAATTTATGCTCCCACCATGTTACTGTGTTTATAAAGACAATTGAGATACATGTTAGCGAAGCCTGAGTTTTCCTAAGAACATTTTGCGCGTAGTTTTGGATTGAGGTGTAGTTGTAAATGTTAATAAAATGTATGTTTAATGGTGGATATTGTGACTTTCACGTGGTTTTTTCCGTAGATTTGTGTAGAAAAAAAGAATGGAAATTCTCTGGCATCTCTCATTGGTACTCGTGTTAATCCAATATCTTTTAGCCTTATTTGGGTTTCTTTGTTTGTTTGCAATCTTGATCTTGCATCCCTCATCTACAGAAGCTTACGAATCAATATGGTTTTGGTCAGAGGCGGATCCAGAATTTGAACTTTATGGGCCGAGTTCGAATTATACCACAATTCATTTGATTTACTGGACTCAAAATGAATTATTTGTACTTATTTAGTGAATTTTTTAACATATATATAGTGCCCGAGTCAAAGCTACTGTTTCAGATGAATCCATACCTTCCCCTCTACATCCACCCCTGGTTTTGGTTACTGTTTTTATGGTCGAAGCAAGTGATTCCCCTTCTTTAGTATACCTGTCCATTAAGGCATACTTCCTTCTTGCATATGTGTTACAGCTCATAGCTGGGGCTGGGGTGACTCATGAGGTTTATGTTCGTAGCACCTCCTCTTATTTGAGTGTATTTTACTCTGCTTTTGCCTCCAGTAATCACTGTTCATTTTAAATATTCATACAAGTACAACAGTGTTCCGTAGGTATAAAAGAAAGACAAATTATTCCTAACTGGTGAACCATGTTTGGGTGAGGGGGTTGGGGGGAGGGGGGGCCTTTAATCCACCGAGTTTCAAAGTTGGAAGTAGCAGATTTCTCGGTTATCAGGAAAAAAGGAGAGAAATAATTTTTTTTTTGGAGTGAGATGGCCTGAATAGAACAAAATGGATACATAAGATTCATATAGTACAGTCAACTTGTTTGGAATTGAAGCGTAGTTGATCAAGTCTTTTGCCATTGCCTTTTCCTTTTCTGTTACCTGTAATTATAATGTGTCCATAAAATTGAACTGTTAGAGTGGTCTACATGGCCTACATTATAATTTTGTGTTTATGGTCGATGTTCTACTGATGCTGATTTTTGCAGGATCAAATTGAGGCCCCTATGTGGGTGGACCTTACCTTAGAATATAAGTCTGCCTATCAAGAAAAGTGAGCATCTACACAAGTTGTTAGGTTCTCAAATTCATGTTGGTTGCTTGAGAAATTAGTTTCTTGATCCAGCATATTCATCTTTTTGTTGCAGGGACGATGATTGGTTCCACATAAGCCATCCGTAAGCATCTTCTCGTTTTTCTTACTTAAGCAGTTTCACTTTATCGACGTGGTATCCTTACGTTGAATGAATATTTAGGTTTCACCACGCCTCTTCTAAAATGTTGAAATCTGCATTTTCTCATGCTGGAGAGGGTTCCATAAACCTAGAGCTCGGGTTGCAGGGGTCATGTTCTCCTAAGCTTCCACCTTCGGTTTCAAGATCAAGAGGCAAAGATTTGCGAAACAGACAATTGGGACAAGGATATCATTGGCTTACCTTGGATAAGAAACATCCAGTTAAACAATTAAGCTCTAAATCTTCGTCTGCAGATTCAGAAGCTTGTAAAGTAGTTAAGCAGAGGGCAAGCTCCAAAAAATTAACAAACTATGCTGCTTCAGACTCAGGTTCTTCTTGTCAGCCACCAGATCTTAGTTCTGGCAATGAAAAAATTAGCTCGAACTCTTTGGCTGTCACGAGATACGAAAGCCTGCCAAGAAGCTGCATTACATCGGAGAACGGTGAACAACATTACCAAAAATCATTGGGCGTTAACAGTTTAAAGAAGCCTCTCGAAGTGTCTGATCAAGTACTTGGTCGAACTAGCGGGTTCTTGTCAGATCTAAGAGTAAGTCTGGGGAAAAGTTGTGTTACAAGACAAGCATCAAGAATGGAGGCAAACAATTTTAGGCAGTCAGAAGGTCAGAAATCTTCTTCAAGTATGTCGAGTGTAGGATCTTCTTCAAACCCCTACAAGGAAAGGGAGAATCTAAATGAGAGAAAAATTAAAGAGAAAACTCCAGATAGTAGAAATGCAAGTAGGATGGCTCGAGCTCCAATTGGAGAAATTAAGAAGGCAAAGATGTCCAAGGTTCCTGTTCAACCTCCTGATAAAACTTCTAACACTAAATTGGTTACTGGAAGATCTGTTTCTTTGTCCATTAGGAATGAAGGTGCTAAAGAAAAGGTGAGAGACTGGAAAAGTTGTTTGAAAAGCTTATATGACAGGCTTCCCATTTTCATTTTCAGTAAAAGGTTATGATTAGGTAGGCTATTGAATAGAATTTGTATGCTTTTTGCCTTTTGTTTTACTGATAGGTTTGGAGATTGAGAAGGGTTTCCCTAGTTTTTGACCATCTTTAAATTATTGAGCATTTGATCCAGGGCGAACATTTTAGATAAATTGAGCTGCTCTCAGGCTTCAGTCTGTTCGATGTTCGTGATGCATTATTTCATAACGTTTCATGTCACTTTCAACGAATGACAAACCAATTGATTTATCCAATTTTTGTGTTATGTTATAGGTACATCAACATAATGTACAAAGAAAACCTCTTATATTTCGAAGAGCCAATGATCATGTATCCTCAATTGTGGTCTCGAAGGCTACTGCAAGAATTGGAGGTAGCCAGTGCGTTAGGACTGTTGGCACCAGTAAGGTGAATGTGGTTGGGAGAATGGGTATGACCCAGAAGTCAAGCATCAATGGCAACCAAAGGTGTCGTACAGAATTCACAAGTTACACAAAGGAGAATAAACGAAGCACTGAGAACGCAAAGTCTAGTGATTTGATGGTAACCTTTGTCCTCTTAGCTACTATTATTGTTAGTTTTTCTGTTCAATTGTAAAAACAAAAAAAGGTATCTCTATAGATTAGATTAGTATATGCAAATTGATCTTATTCTGGAGACAGATTGCAGAATTTAGAGTATTCATTGATCATAGTCAGTAGTTTGTGGCCTTATTTCATGGAGTGCAACAGTCCTAACAACTACAGAGTAGACCTGAGATGACCCATGAAATCGGACTAACCAGCTTGATAAAACAAAGCCCAGAGTGACCAATAAGAAAAAACTGAGCCTGCACGGTCCAGGCCCAGTTACTGAGCCAAGGTTGGTCCTAGGTTTTTCAACCAGTTAAGTGACCTGGATCATGACCGGCCCGACCAGCTAGGAATTAGAGAAAGTCCACTTTTAACCGAGATATTTCCTAAAAGAATAAAGTAGAAATTCCAAAGATAAAAGAAAATATAGGAAACATTCTTTTTTGAAAAAGAAAATAGCCTGGCCTATCCCAGCCCTTTACAAGTCCTGTTTACCGTTAGGGGTCGTGGTCTTTGTCGGGCTTATCCCCTTAAAATTAGCACAGCCTGGCCCATTTGAATTGAGCCAAGTGCAGGACTGGACCAAGCCCATCCAGCTGGACCAAGCCTGTCTGAGCTGGCCCAGTTAGCACATTTATTTTAAAGCATATACTTGTTAGTTATCTAGGCCCTTGGTTAATAAGCTGTATTAGATTTGTCACTCTTGCATCTCATTTTGATAGGGTTTCTTCCCATTGTTTATTTATGAGGTGTCAGATAGTCCTTACACCTATAGTAATTCGGTGGGAGAAGCAATTGTGCGAAAGGATTAACTGCCTTTACAATGTTACTAATGCAGGTGAACGCTGATAATAAAAGGGACGTGGCTAATCGTGTGAATACGAAGAAGAAGGTTTTCCTTAGATAAAATAGCTAATCTGTATGTACATAGTAGCACTCTGCCTGTTTTCATTCTTGTCGAGCTGCAACGAAGATGGATAAAATGATATGTTGATCGTCTTATGCTGTCAAATAGGTTTTACGATTTTCATTTTAGTTCATCTTGTTGATATTCAATGTCCACTGAATAAAAGAGAGCTGCAATGGGAGATCAAGCTCTCTGAAATTTTGCTTTGCAGATGTTGATCAAAAGTTGACAGTATGTCTATTTTCCACATTAATTTGTTCAACATTACTGTGATGCTGTCTTTTTTCACAGGGTAAGCCATCTAAACTTATCGATAAATTTCATTGATCTATTGATTATATCTTGATCCTTCAAGTGATAACTTACAAGAAATGAAACATGAACTGTAGCTTCAATCAGAATCCCTTTTATAGACCTCAAGTCAAGCCCCTTCTCCCTTTAGTTTTTCCTGTACATCTAAAGGGTGTACATTCTTGTGAAATTCTGAAATTGCTAAGGGTGTGTTTGGTACGAATGTTTTCCAATTTTCCCATGTTTGGTTGGCCTAAATGTTTTGGAAAACATTTTCCTCGTGAACTCATTTTCCTCCAATTCCCTATCAAGNCCCACCCTAAATAAAAATATTATTAATAGTACTTTCTTTTCATGTTATAGATAGATTTTTTTTTCATTTCTTCATGATATATAAAAGTATTTTTTTCATTTTAACAAAAAAAATACTTTCTTTTCATGTTATAGATAGATTTTTTTTTTCATTTCAACAAATGAGTATTTTTTTTCATGATATATAAAAGTATTTTTTTCATTTTAACAACAAAAATACTTTCTTTTCATGTTATAGATAGATTTTTTTTTTTCATTTCAACAAATGAGTATTTTTTTTCATGATATATAAAAGTATTTTTTTCATTTTAACAACAAAAATACTTTCTTTTCATGTTATAGATAGATTTTTTTTTTTCATTTCAACAAATGAGTATTTTTTTTCATGATATATAAAAGTATTTTTTTCATTTTAACAAAAAAATACTTTCTTTTCATGTTATAGATAGATTTTTTTTTCATTTCAACAAATGAATGTTTTTTTTCATGATATATAAAAGTATTTTTTTCATTTTAACAAAAAAAATACTTTCTTTTCATGTAGAAAAAGTATTTTCTTTTATTTCAATAAAATGAGTACTTTATTTTCATGTTTTAGAAAGAATATTTTCTTTTTCAACCAAATAAAGAGTTTTTTTTTATAGTTATGGAACACAAATTTCAACGTTAATTTTGCATAAAAAAGTAAAGCAACACATTAGTTCCTTTGGGTTTGTGTGAATTTTTAGAGACTTGGGTGAAGGGGGTGGGGTGAGGGGGGATGAGGAGAGTAGCATAAAAAAATATTTTCTACTCTCTAACCAAACACTAGAAAATATTTTTCGGAAAATATTTTTCACTCATCAACCAAATAAGAGAAAATAAGTGATAAAATCACTCATTTTCATAGAAAACATTTTCCTTACCACTGTATGCCTCCACCATTGGCGGTTAGCAGGGGCGGAGCCACCTAGAGCCAAGAGGGTTCATATGAACCCGCTTCGTTGAAAAATTTTGGTATTTTATGTAGGTTAAATTCTGTAAAATATAGATATAACCCTTCGTGTTGAACCCACTTGAAAGAAGATGATCCTTTGGAAAGATGATCAAGCGGGTTAAAACTTTAGTGCAGCACTTAAGCAGTTTTTTCCCCTAGTTTTTGGAGGCTAGGACTAATAAATAGTTACCCTTGTTAGTTGATTCTTCCTTTTCCTCTATGTGCTTTAGTTTTTATCTCTATTTTTGTACTTTATTTTTATTTTACATTTCATCTCTTTACTAAAATCTAGTAGGAAATATTTTACAGTTTATTTTACTTTATAAGGATCAAACTTTTCTACAAAATGAAATCTTACATTATTTTTGCTAAAATATGCAAGTGCAATCTTTAAATTGTTTATAATTTGTTAGTTCAACTTAAATTGTTTATTTTATGTTACATTAAAATTATTAATTTACTTTATAAGCTCTCTTCTCTTATAAATTTGTATTAGTTTAGCTTAAATCATAACTCTTTATTTTTTCGTTGTCTTTTGTTTGTAAATTAGCGACTTTTTTCGTTACAGATTTTAGATTTTTCCCAATTTCTAGAGTCTAGAAGGTTTCTAAACTGGGTAAATAGATTTTTAGTTAAAGTAACAAAGGTGAAATTCTTTGAACTAAATTTTTTAAATTAAATAAATAAATTGTTAATATATTTACTTAAAGTAAGTAGTCTTTGTTAAATATTTTAAATTTTTTGTTCAACTTTCTTTTATAGAAAAAAGGGATGTTGACTGCAACTTTTTTAAGTTGTTCATTTTGTGATAGAATTATGAATTTAATGTAAAAAAAGGCATCGGACAAATCTTACTTGTCGGTATTAACATTATATTTTTTGAACCCGCTTGCTTGAAATCCTGGGTCCGCCGGCTGTTAGTAAGAAGGATGGACCATATTTATGTGTCAGCACAGAAAATTTTGCTTCGGAAAAAAACAAACAATTGGACGAGACAAGGAAAAGTTCAAGAAAGTGTACTATTTCTGTTATAACAGAAATGTCAGTGTTTCATCGTCTGTACAAGTGCAAACAACAAAGTTTACAATGCCAAGCCAAGAAAAATGAAGAATATTATCAAGAATAAATTCATGTGCTCCTTTCACTCTACACACTTGCTGATCTACCATACAAGTTACGGGTTCGACACAATTCAATAATTTGGATCCAAATGGGTGACATTACATTATATCTGCAATATTATCTTATACATATATTTTATAGCGATAGAAATGTCACTATATGTTTAAGGCTATAAATTTAAAACTCTTTCGTTTTTTCTTAAACTTCATGCTCAGCCAAATACCTTCACATAGTGTAAGACGGAGGAAGCAATACAATAGCGATAGAAATGTCACTGTATGTTTAAGGCTATAAATTTCAAATCTTTTTCGTCTTTTCTTAAATTTCATATTCAGCCAAATACCATTCACATAACATAAGACGGAGAAAGCAATAGTGTATTACAAGTCTCCCCTTAGTGAGCTCTAAAATAGAATATGCTTTTTTTTTCTTCCTACATGCCCCAACAAAGTTTATGTAGTAATAAGAGGAGATGGATTAGATAGAGTACATAAACTTGCAATGGATGGAAGGATTTAACTTATATATACTTTTATTGTATTATAACTTATTATATCATGTTATTTCTTCGTATGCGCATACAATGTGACTTTGTGCTAATGCCTTATAAAGCTTGTGATGTGGGATTCGTCTAAGGTATTATGTGCACACTTTTTTCAGAAGTTTGTCAATCTAGAAGCCTGACAGTCCTTCTTTTGCTCTGTCCTCGTCGCCCCCCTTTCTCTCATGGACGTCACAATTATATAGGTTGCATTAATGTGATGGCGTAAAATAATTGTCGGTGTTTATAAATTAAACTCGATGAAAATAGTGAGGTGATAATTGAAGGAATATTTATGGCAATTAAGATAATGTGTTCAAGTTCCTAACGGCTCTATTTCTCAAAATCGAGCTCCTAAGTCTGTTTTTTCGAAAGCGATATATGATGTAATAGTAATCTTATAATAGTAACGTAGACAGATTTTTTCATATAATTGATTTGCAAACAAACAAAAAGAAGGAAACTGCGTCGAAGCTTGTTTTTTTCAAACTTATTCGCAAAATAGACTCCTACTTTGCCAACCTCTGCAGCTTCCTCCAAATCTTTATTTGCCTTATTTAAACTTTCCCTCTTTTTGTCTCCTTATTTCTCACTCTTTTTATTCCAATATTACCCCTTTCAACTTTTTTCTTATTTATATTTTGAATTTTATTCTAACAGCATAAATAGCTACTTCATTTTTTCTACTTTTATGTAATACATTTTAATTTTAAATTTGTCTAAAAAATAATGATATTTTTGTATATTTAGAACGACCTAATTTTAAGTCTACATTTTTGAACTTAATGACATGATTTTATAGTCAGAAAAATGTATATGAAGTATTTTAGACTACAAGTCTTAAATGTTTTTTTCTTCTTTCTTTCGTAGTCAAACACCTTCACAAACGAGACGGAGGGAGTAATAGTTTTACTTTAGAATTAACTAAGATGTTGACAGTAAGTATGGACATATAGTTTAGTTAAATTTTCTTATATATTGACGGTGTGTTTGTGTATATAACTAAATGCTTTAACTTATATAATCAATATAATTTAATCTGTTGTAGAATGTTATACACCTTATTTTTTCAAGTTATGACTCTAATTATAATTATCGATAATAACTACCTTAAACCCCTACATTAAAATTACCAATGTGCTAGGTTTTTCTATTTTCAGTTTCATTAATAGATGCTACAAATTACCAAAGGGTCAGTCTAGGAAATTCTTCCAATTTGTCTTCTTACGTTATAAGCTCCAAATATATCTCTAACCAATGCTCCAAAACTACAATTATTTGTCTTCTTCTTGAAAATATTATAGACCCCATTCCTACGTCTAAAAGCTCAAATATATACTGCATATATATATATATATATATATACATACATATATATATATATTCTCTTCCCTTCTCAAACCCAACTAAAATCAACCTTCTCTTCACACCTCCTTCAATCACTTCGCTGTCGTTACTATTAACTTTTCCGTCGAAGTCTATCCTGTAGAGGTAATCAAATACAAAAAAGTTACTACTATAAAAAAAAAAATTAAAAATGACTAGTCATTATGAGGATATATACAGTGTCAGTGACGATGACAACGACGACGACGAAGAAGAAGAAATTGAAGAAGAAGAAGAAAATAACTCAGAAGAATGTAACAAAATTCAAGAAGGCAGAAATAAAGGAAGATTAATCATAGAATTTTTCTCAAGAAATAAGATAATAGACCCTAGAGCACAATGGGTTCAAGAATGGAACAGAGTATTTTTATTAGTATGTGCCATAGGGCTATTTTTAGACCCTTTATTTTTCTATGCTCTTTCTATAAGTGAGAATTGCATGTGTCTCTTCGTCGACGGTTGGTTCGCCGTGACGGTGACGGTTCTCCGGTGCATGACCGACGCATTGCACGTGTGGAATATGTGGTTGCAATTCAAGATGATTAATAGATCACGGCGAACTCATATGGTGGCTAAGAAGGGTTTCTTCTTTGATCTCTTTGTCATCCTCCCTTTACCCCAGGTGAGTTAGTTCTATTCATTTCT